TGTTGTTGTTGTTGTTGTTGTTGTTGTTGTTGACGAGTCGACGATTGGAGGACGAGGTGAGCTCGGTCACGTCGCCGGAGAGGGTGCTGCCAACAGGGTCGCCCACGCTCGAGATATCACAGTTGTGGCAACTCTTCTTCTCCTCGTTGTCGATCGCCAACAATTTCTCACCCTTGGACTTCTCCATCCCGTCGGACGCCGAACCGTCCTTCTCGTCCCCGTCCTCCTTGCTCAACGTTTGACGCTTGTGCTTCATCCTCCGGTTTTGAAACCACACTTTCACCTGGAGAGTGAAAAATTATTATTCTATTGTTGTTATTTGTTATATAAATTATAGAAATTATTTTATTATGAAATTAAATTGTTATGTTTTTATGTTTCTTTTCGAGGATTGATTACGGAGGAGGATTTCGTGATTCGTTGAAAAAGGAAAACAAAGATGGAAGAAAGATGGATTGTTTTCGTTGGACGAATGAATAAAATCGAGGATTTTGGAGGAGAAGGGAAGAGGAGTTATCGTCGCGTTATCTGTTCTCTTACCTGCCTTTCGGTGAGGTCGAGGGATGCCGCAATCTCGATTCTTCGGGGTCTGCACAGGTACTTGTTGAAGTGGAATTCTTTTTCCAGCTCGAGCAATTGCGTGTTCGTGTAGGCCGTGCGTAATCTCCTTGGCAGTCCGTTTTCTGCAACGTAACCGCGAGTGTTTTTTTTTTCTTTTTTTTCTTATTCCATTCTTCCAATGGAAAATGCGCCGCCAATGGAATCGGATCTAGAATCGTAGTTTTACCACTAGAGCGTGAATATTCTTTTGTGCTATCGAACTGTACATCTTAGATTTTTCTTTTTTTTTTCATTCTTTACAGTAATGCAATACCAGTAGTGCAAGTGACACGGTCTACTAATAAAAATTAGATCCAGAAACTGGCAATTAGTCATCTCAATCTCGATGCTAATGAGGGACGATTAGAAATTATAATTGCGCCGCTTGTTCCCGCGGAGATTAACATATAAATCAGTAGGGTTTTTTTCTTCGCAAGAAAGCCTCTTTCTTACGAGGCTCGCGTTATTCGTTAAATTACGTAGGCTTGAAAATTGCCTCGATCTTATTCTCGAGCTTTTATTTTGTGTTCTATTCGGAAAAATCGGACTCAAGTAAGATACTCAAAATCGAAAAATTTATTTTATTCTATTCGAAGATTCGATGTACAATAGATCGAAAAATGAAAATAGAGAATTGTTCAGTTGAGAATTTTTCAGTTTTCTAGAATGCAAATGATGCAATCATTATTTGCATTTTTCACGACGGTTCTCAATTTCTTCCAACGCAAAGCGAGAGGATAAAAGCTTCGAACGATCTCTTTGTTAAATCTCGTGTTATTCGTTATTTGAAATTGTCTTGAAATATTTATTTTATTTTACGAAAATTCGATATGCAATTAAAAGTATTAAGATCAAAAAATGAAAATATTCATTCAAGAATTCTCGATTTTTCAGTTTTCTGTCAAACAAGCTTCTTCCAGCACAAAGAAAGATAAAATATTATTTTATTCTATGCAAATTTGATATATAAGATATTAAAATCAAAAAGTGAATATTTTCTTTTAAGAATTCTTAATTTTTCTTCGCTAAAAAACGACGGAATCACTGTCATTATCTGCACTTTTCAATTTCTTCCAGCACAAAGGGTAAAAGATTATTTTATTTTATTTTATTTTATGAAAATTCGATATACAATTAAAAGTATTAAAATCAAAAAATGAAAATATTCATTCAAGAATGTTCAATTTTTCAGTATTACTAAACAACGCAACAACTGTCACCACCTGCACTTTTCACGACGGTTCTCAGCTTTTTCCAAATTTAAAATCAAAAAATGAAAATATTCTTTTAAGAATTCTTAATTTTTTAATTTCTTCGCTACTAAAAAACGACGGAATCACTGTCATCGCTTGCATTTTTTAGCTTTTTCCAGCATAAAGCGAAAAGGTAAAACATTATTTTATTTTATGCAAATTATGATATGCAATTAAAAATATCCAGAAATGAAAATTTTCTTTCAAGAATTTTTAATTTTTCAGTTACCAAACAACGCAACAACTATCACTATCTGCACAACGATTCCAACTTCTTTTATCTCAAAGCGAAAAAGTAAAATATTATTTTATTCTATGTAAATATTAAAATCAAAAAATGAAAATTTTCTTTCAATAATTTTTAATTTTTCAGTTTCTTCTCTATCAAACGAATCACTGTCATCACCTGCATTTTTCAGCTTCTTCCACAAAGCGAAAGAACAAAATACTATTTTATTTTATACAAATTTGATATATAAGATATTAAAATCAAAAAATGAAAATTTTCTTTTAAGAATTCTTAATTTTTTAATTTCTTCGCTACTAAAACGACCAGCTTTTTCCAGCACAAAGCGAAAAGGTAAAACATTATTTTATTCTATGCAAATTTAAAATCAAAAAATGAAAATTCTCTTTCAAGAATTTTTAATTTTTCAGTTACCAAACAACGCAACAACTATCACTATCTGCACTTTTTACAACGATTTCAACTTCTTTTATCTCAAAGCGAAACAGTAAAATATTTTATTCTATGCAAATTTAAAATCAAAAAATGAAAATTTTCTTTCAAGAATTTTTAATTTTTCAGTTTCCACGCTATCAAACAACGCAACAATTGTCATCAGCTGCACTTTTCACTATGGTTCTCATCTTCTTCCAGCCCAAAGCGAAACAGTAAAACATTATTTTATTCTATGCAAATTTAAAATGAAAAAATGAAAATTCTCTTTCAAGAATTTTTAATTTTTCAGTTTCCTATCAAACAACGCAACAACTTGCACTTTTCACTTTTCTCAGCTTCTTTTACCTCAAATCGAAACAGTAAAACATTATTTCATTCTATGCAAATATTAAAACGAAACGAAAGATGAGAAAAATTTTCAATCGAAGAATCCTCCATTCTTCTCAATCCCCTCCCTCCCTCCCTCCTTAGA